GCAAGCAGAGGTGGAAACCTTACGGAAAATGTAGAGCCCTGTTTTTCTTATAAGAAATCAGCTTTTTGGCACAAGAATTTGTGTTTTACCCCTAAAGCTTCATTAATTTTTAAATGATAAACTTCATCCAATGAGGGGAGTGCTCTGATAATTATGTTTTCTTTCTTCATTTTGATTTTTTTTTTGTCATAACAACTCTTGAATCCAGTCATCTTACACATAGGACTGTTCAGTCATGCTCCTCTTCTGTTATCTAAACAAATAATGAGTTAGTCTAGCTGGTCTCTATGTTTCTGTGTAGGCATAAATGTAAATAAGGGACCTTAATGCAGGAAGCACTTCCTATATGCTTTGTTGAACTGTGTATGCTTTCTGGACTGGTGGCCAGCAGACCAAGTCCATTTGGAAAACAAATGCTTCACTTCTGCAGTGCCTCATCTAGCTTCCAGTTCGCTGGTTAAGTCTGACAGTTGCTGATGTACTCCCTAATTTCCTTCTGCCCCAGATCATGCAGTAAATAACGTGTTTTGAAAGGTCAACATTTCACTGTGTTGCTGAAAAGTCCTGGGTAAAACAACTGATATTTTCCAGAGTTAAGCATTTAACCTGAAGAAAACCTTAGGCAAAAAGGTGGCTTTTGTCCTTAGCCCTAAATTCAAATCATTACTTCAAGTCTTTTCAGTAGAATTAGCTGTTTAGCTAGGAAATTATTATGCATCTGAATGCAAAGGTACATTGTCAACCTAAAACTGGCATTTACTTCACAGTGTGTATCATATTTTACCAGTGACCAATGCCAGCAGCACTCCAGTTTCACCAGTCCGCCAGAATGCTTTAGCCTGAGCTCTGAAAGAGGGGCAATTATGTGTCAGAAGTGAACATAGCTGAAGAAAGTTTAACCAATCATTCTGAAAGGGGGAGGGCTTTGCAAATTTTTTAAAGTTTTCTAATGGTTTTAGGCTTGCTGTGTAGAAAACTCACAGAATAATGGATTTATCTGGATTGGAAGGGACCTCAGAGACCACCCACACAACCCCCTGCCATGGGCAGGGACACTTCCCACCAGCCCAGGCTGCCCAAGGCCCCATCCAGCCTGGCCTTGAGCACCTCCAGGGATGGGGCATCCACAGCTTCTCTGGGCAGCCTGGGCCAGGGCCTCACCACCCTCTGAGTGAAGAATTTCCTCCTAATATCTAATCTAAACCTACCATTTTAATTTGAAGCCACTACCCCGTCTTATCAGTACAGGCCTTGGTGCAAATTTTCTCCGCATCTTTCCTACAGGCCCCCTTTAGGTACTGGAAGGCCTCAGTTAGGTCTCACCAGAGCTCTCCCTTCTCCAGGTGAAACAATGCCAGCTCTCACCACCTTTCTTTGAAAGAGAGGAGCTCCAGCCCTCTGATCATCCTCGTGGCCCTCCTCTGGACCCACTCTAACAGCCCCACATCCCTTTTGTGCTGGGGGCCCTAGAGCTGCACGCAGTGCTCCACATGGGGCCTCACACAGGTGGAGCAGAGGGGCACAATCCCCTCCCTGGACATGCCAACCAAGCCCAAGACACACCTGGCTTTCTGGGCTGCAGGCTCTCTCTAAGCTTATTTTTTAATACACTCCATATCTACGAGAGTTGGATTCCTGGAGCTCAGTCAATTACAGTGGGGTCCAGAGTTTGTATTTAAAAAGTGCCTGGAAGGGTAACAGGTAACATGGAAATAAGAGAGAAATGAGACCAGACAGATGAACCTGGAGCTGTTTCCAGGCTTTGCTATAATCTAGGTGACTGATTTGAAACAGGGTAGCTAAAATGGCAGATCCCAGTCCCTCTGAGCCCTGAGTACCTTTCACCTGGACATCCCCAACATACGGGGTATGCAACTTCTCCAGTGCTCTTCCAAAAGATCTTCTGCTGTTCTCCTGGCTGTGCCTCTGGGAGCAGCTGTAGTTCCCTGCTGTGAAAATGCTGCACACTATTTGGCTAAACTGGCAGAGCTGGAGTTGGTGTATTTGTTCCTGCTGCATACAGGTCAAAAAAAAACACAAATGTATCTGGGTAAGCATGCCTAGCCCCACTGTTGGGATGCAGAGGAAACACATCCCATTTTGTATTGCAGCTGTTCACACCACTGCATTGCAAGACAGCTTCATAAGAAGGTGGGAAACTGTACAGTCCCGTGCTCCATAAATACCACTCTAAGTGTTCAGTGGCTGAAGTGAAATGTAGAGTAAAACAAGAATGCAACACTTTCTCTTTTCCACTAGTCCTGACAAAACTGAAACCAACTAGAAGAAGTGAAGATCATGTGTAGGATAAATTAAAACATTTTAGATGAGAAAATGCATTTTCAGACCCATAGTGTTGAAATATCTCAGAAGATGTCACATCACAGTAGGGAAGGGGGCTACCTTGTGCAAATGAAAAGTCCCTGCAGCACTGCTGATTTGCAGAGCTCATTAGTCACTGCTAGTATCCGCTGTGTAAAAGATTGATCCAATCAGTCATACGAGGACATAAATTCTTAATCCCTTGTCATGGCTCCAAATTTTCTGGCATTTGAGGATGATGTAGTAGTTTCATTAATATTGATGGAAAATTTATTGTTGACTTTGCACCTTGCATCTTTTCAGGCTCTTGTGGTGAGAAAGTAGTGAAAAAGTGTGCAAACTGAATACCAGTACTAGGATCTGAGTGAGCACCAATTTAAGAGACCATTCTGCACCTTGCAAAGAAAAATGTACAGATGGGTAAAGTTTATTTCAGTGACTCTTACTTCATGGAGATACCAATTTATAAATACTCCCATGCTCATTTGCTTTGAATCTGTGTTCTTTTTTTCTTTGAGGGTTCTTAATTTTAGAATCATAAAATATTTCACTGATAATTTTGCTGGAGGAGGTTAACTGAATAGAAGCATAATTTGTTTTGGCCAGAAAACCTAACATCTTTTATAAGTGGATTTTAATTAAGAATTTTCTACCATACTAGAGATTTTACATGCTAATGAAAGCATTTGCTGAAAATGTTAAACTGCATGGGGTTTGGCTTAATGTAGTGGAAATAGAGAACTTTAATTATTAAACAGAATTTAGTAGCGAGATCAGATGGGTAGGGCAGAAATTCAAGAAAAAGTGCAGGAGTACTTTCTCCTGCTTCAGTAATCTGCAGCTAACAAGTTAATCCTTTGATCCTGCAGAGCTCAGAAGCTGTTAGATGTCAAGCCTGATGAAAATCTCCAGGCAGTCACAGGGTTTTCTCCCCTCTTTTGACTCTGACTCACCAAGCCTAAGCTTAAGTAAATATGATATATTGTAGCAAAGGAAATGCTCTTTATTTGGCCTCAGGACTTTCTAAAGAAACAGTTATGGTTGGATATGAAATAATTACATTAAAGCGCATGTATTTGTGACCTAAGCCTTTGACTACAGCATGCGTGTAGGAGTTGCCCCGACAGAGGTGGTCTGTACCAGACACTAAAAATGCCAGAAATGTAATTCCCCAAGTGCTTAGCTCTCCCTCTCTCTCAGTCTCAGAGTGGTCCCAGGAGTGCTCAGAGATCTTCATGGGCCTGACAATACCCTCTTGAAAGACAGAAGGAAAGAGAGGTAGGCTGTGGCTCACATTACTCGTTTTAGGGGGCTGCTTAGGGCCCTGGCCTGTGGATACAGTACCACTGTTTTCCAGCACCTGCAGGGTAGGGGCAGGAGCTGACCTGCAAAGTGCGGGTGCGCAGGGAGAGCGCATTCAGCTCCAGCATGGAGATACATGGCATCCCGTACATGCAGGGCTTTCTCACTTTAGTAAAAGCATTTTGGTGGAAGTGGGTCTTCGCCAGAAAGATTTTTCTAGTCAGAGCACAAATCAGGCAGAGGAGACGCTGGCTGGTAGTGCGATTGCCACCTGAAAAGCCAACATTGCTGGATTCCTTAGGCAGAATCTGAGGCTGTGTGCTCAGGCTCATGACTCCCACTAATGTTACAGCCCCCCTCTGAACATCAGCAGTCTGCAGTGGTCTGGCATGAAGGACCAAAGCAAGTGCTCCTCCCTCACCATGCATAGTTACGGAGGAGGTTATGTCCTCTGCAGTGAGCACTGGTGAGTCAGAGTGTGTCAGTGTGTGCGAGATGAAATAAAAACAGCCCCGAGTCTGATAACTCTGCTGATAATGTTAAGTCTTGGCTGCATTCAGATCAGATTATGAAAAGATCAGACCACAGCTGTTGCTCTGTGGGAAGGATTGTCTCACGGCTGTGGGCTAGCCAGGGACACCCAGCTCCCACTCGGTCGTCTGTGTGATCTCTGCCAAGTCACTTTAGGTATCTGGGACACTTACACTACTTTAGTTTGTCTAACTCTTAGATGGGAGTTTACCCCAGTCCCACAACAGAGTGGGATTTACAGCCTTTTTATTGCATGTTCCAGTTATCTTGGAAATGAAGCTCTGATACAGGATCAGATACAAATTACAGGTGCTTGGATCAGACCCTTGGTGTACTGGTGCAGCTGGGGGACAGGACCGTGGGAGATGCATCTCCAAGTCAACTCGTTTTTTAAGTTTCTTCTCCTAGCTCCAAAGGTTGCATTATTCCAAGGAAGGGGTACTATGGATAGCTTGGTTTGGTAAATCAATGACACCAATAATTTTTGGTTGGTTGGTTCAGACTGTTTTACTGACCAAGACAGGTTACACCGTAATGTGAGGGCATCTGTCTGCCCTAGACTCTAACAACAGACGCCAAAGTAAGACTACAAGAAAAGTGCAAGCATATGTGACACCTCCCCACCCTCCTGTCCCGAGCAATTTGCAGATCAGGGTGTGTCTGGTTTAGGGATATTGTCTTGTATTAAGGAGCACTCTGTAATTATTTTTTGTGCTTTCACCCAGTTTTTGAACCCATGCACGCAGAGGAGTTCGTAATAACATGAGCAGTAGATGCCCAAGAGGAAACAGGTTTAAGTTTGCAGTGGTCAAGGGACTAATGTAGATCTCCACCTGTGTTTTCAGTAGTTTCCAGAAGGACCACTGAAAAAATACCCCAAAGGGTAAGCCCTGGCCAGAAGAGCTTTTCATCTCTACTCCGACAGATGCAGCAAGGTGAGACCAAGGAAGCATTTGGGAACTGTTAAGACTGGAAACACTCCTGTGTCAGGACAAGACCATTCACTTTTCATCCTCAAACCAAGAGATGAAGTTGTGCACCTCATCAGCTCTCCCAGCGTGTCCTTGCCATGCCCTTCGATCCCTACCATAACATACGTATTTTCAAAAACTCGTTGTGATGACAGCTGAGATGCTTTTTAGTCTTGAGTTCTTAATGATCAAATTACTTTCAATTTAGTCTTTCTTTATCCATCAACCTGGATGGATTTGTAAGGGACAAAATGACATTACACAAACCTAATCTCCTTCTCTGACAAGATAGCAAGGCTCTGTGGCTAGAGGAGAAGCAGTCAGTGCCAAACATCCAGACTGTGACAATGGCTTCGGTTCTGTTTCACCTTATTTCCTGTAGGCACAGAAGAGATGTGTAGAGTGGTGATGTGAAGAGATGTGTAGAATGCTTATTGTAAGCATTTTGCAAGAACTGTTTGCAGGCGGCACCCGGGGAGTAACTTTTGCAATCTCCTTGTCCTGGCAAGGGTTGTGTGGAAAGGATGGAAGATAGGCCTGATCGTGTGCTGTAGTTTCGTTACTGATCCAATGGCCCAGTCGTGCTGGGTCTGGCTGGGACGGCCTTAACTCTCTTCACAGCATCAAGGCTTTCCCTTTTTTTATTTTTATTTATTTATTTGTTTATTATTTTATTTCCCCTCTTTCCCATATTTACTCAGCTTTGTCTCCTCTCACAGATTTTCTTGCTTTTGCTCTTCCTATTCTCTTTCCTGTCCTGCTGGGTGTGGACAGAGAGTAAGTGGCTGTGTGGTTATCTGCTGAGTGCCAATCACCGCAATAATAGGGAGTAAAATAATGAAATTAGCAGGAAACATGGAGTTTGTTGATATTAAAAGGGTGTTTGGATAAAATTTGTGTTCCCGTGGTAATTGGAGATGGATTATATGTTTTCTTTCAGTGTTATGACATCTTGTTGATTAAATGAGGAGGTAAGATTTTAATGATATGAAGAATTAGGCCTCCTTCCTAAACTCTGGTAGGCTACTAACATTTTCTTATTTAAGTAAGGCTCAGCTGCATTGTCTGCTTTTGCTGTGGATGAAGAGCACATGCAGATCTCGGCAGTGGCTCAGTTGATGTCTGGTAACTTTGGCTGTCTCAGACTCTGCCCACTGGGTCTCACTGGCTCACTGCATTAGTCCCATGCCATGAGATATGCATGATATTTGAGCGGTCCTGCAGAAACATAACAATTCACTTCAACTGCAGGCTGGATTCCCAGTCAAAATTGACCTAACTCTCCCGATTCTGCTGGCAAATAACCTCACCCATCATCCTCAGCATTTCCCTCCTGCCTCGTGGAGCAGCACACCAGAGCACTGCAGGAATGCGGTGTTTCAGGGGCACTGTTTGTGCTCATGCACCTTCAGGAGATCTCGATGCAGCGTGGATTTTGTAAGTGTTGGTTGCAGATCTGGCAATTTCCTTTGCAGATTAAGGAAAGATGCCAAAACATAAACGACTGACTGTGTGTCTCTGCCGTGTTGTGACAGGACATCCTGTAAGAAGTGCTGATTGATGGCATGTATAAAACCAAGCCATTATATGTGCTGTTTATATTGAAACACTGCTTAAAATGTGGGCTGTCAGTCAAAGAACCGATTCCTTACACGGTGCTGTAATAAGTGGTGATAGGTGCAGCGAGCAAGGTATCAGAGTAAATGCTTTGTTTCTGAACCTCCAACAGCCTATGTGACACCTCATGTCTCATGCATCTTCCTGGTGTGCGTGTGGGGTGGGAAGCACCTGGTGAGTGCTGCTGTGGTGCCACTGAAGCACAGACAGCGGGATTTCCTCTCGCTATAAGTCAGGTGGAGAAGGGAAACCAAAATGTATGTTTTATTTGCAGTGAGATAGAGCAGAACAGAACTAGCTTTCTTCCCTCTTCTGCTTATGAAGTGGGAGAGAGGAAAGGGATGTTTGCTTTACAAGTACAGAGAATTGTCAAATCGCTGGAATTTTCCTTCTTTGTGTTTGCTGCTCGTCACTTTCTAAAACCATGACAGTTTGTGCTGTCTGTAATGACACTTCCTCCTATCTGCTTAAAAATTGCATCCTTGTACGGATAGTTTCCATATGCCAAGAAAACACTCCATAAATACACACATCACTTCACAGTAAAAAGCTTTTCCTTTTATGCTTATGATCAGACTGAAAACCATTTGTCATTAAAAACCATCTTCGCAGAGGCATCTGAATGCTGTGCTTTGATATGCGACTGATTGTAAGGACCTTTGAGTATAGCTTTATGGAGCAATATAAGGTTGTTTCCTGAATTTGATTTTTTCTGCAAAATGAAAAGGAACGGTCACAATTGCACTTCCACTGTCAAGGTACAGCTTGATTATGTAGAGAGACTATATAATCATGTTAAGTACTGACAGTTTTATGCCATATCTTCTAATGTGCAGTATAATCTATTTTTTATTCGCGTACATTTGTAAATTACACATTGCTCTGTGGTACTTTTACCCGCTAACTCCCTTCCTAGGATGTGCTGCATTGCCTTGTAGTGTACATCTGTCTATATTTGTTTAGCTCTTTAAAAATGTCTGATTAAAAATAATTGTCGTGCAATAAATACGACGCTTTAATTATTTTTTTGTAGAAAAAAAAATCGGAATCAGTACAACCTCTGGTTTCACAGATGAGGCAGTTCACAGATGGGCTCATTACTTGGAGCAGGCCCTGCACACAGGATTGGAATCCACAGAAAAGCCTTCTACCTTGCATTTGCTCTAAAACGTAGACTGCCTCTAATCCCACTGTTTTCCACAAATTTCCATGCACAAAACTGTGCCCCAGTGTCATGAGGAGCTCATTTTGGTTTTGTGCCATACTCTGGTAACATCATTTGTGAAACTGATGCTGGCTTTTCAGTCATATGGCAGGCATGTAATGATGTTTTCCAGTGCGCTTTATGCAATTATTTTTATTTTTATTTTTATTTTTCTTCTTCTTCTTCTTCTTCTTCTTATTTTTATTTATTTTTATTTTTATTTTTATTTTTATTTTTATTTTTATTTTTATTTTTATTTTTATTTTTATTTTTATTTTTATTTTTATTCTTTCTACTTTTGAAGGAAATCTATTTTTGGGAAGAGCTTGTTGTGAAAACTCACTGCTTCTTCTGCTCTGTTTTGTCTTTCTCCTTCTCCCTCCTCCAGACCAGGATGAAAGAGCAGCAGAGCTCAGCAGGGAGCAGAACGAGAAGACCATTCGCAGCACACAGACGGCTCTCCGCAATTTCCGAGAGTTCCTCATCTCCAAATATCCTTCTGAGACCCGAGAGATCTACGTCATCCCCTGCAAGGAGCTTGATGCCTACCTTGCGTCCTTCTTTGTGGACGCCAGGCAGAAGGATGGGTCTGAATACGAGCCGAACAGCCTGGCCAACTACCAGTGTGGGCTGGAGCGGTACCTCAAAGAGCACAGATATGGGTACAGCATTACTAGGGATAAGGAGTTCAAAAGGTCCCAGGAGGCTCTAAAGCAAAAGCAGATAGAGCTGAGGTGTAAAGGGAAAGGAAACAAGCCACACAAATCCATGAAGCTCACCTTTGCTGATGAACTTATCCTGCGCAAACGAGGCTTGTTGAGCCGGTACAATCCCGAAGGGCTCCTGAACCTTGTCTGGCTGAACAACACCAAGGCCTTCGGGCACTGCACAGGTTTCCATGGCTCCACCCTCAAGTGGGGAGACATCCGGCTGCGGGTGACAGAGACAGGGCTGGAGTACCTGGAGTGGATGGGACCGGACAACGGAGACGTCAGCGCCAAAAGCAAGAGAGGTGGGACGGACTCACGGGTGTACGCCACCCAGCACTCGCCGCAGACCTGCCCGGTGCAAGACTACAAGGAGTACGCCCAGAGGCGGCCGCCAGCCATGCGCTACGAGGACGCGCCGTTTTACCTCTCCATCAAACCCGTCGTCAACTTGGCTGCTCTTCACTGGTACAACTGCCAAGCCCTGGGGAAAAACAAGCTGGCCAAGATGGTAAAGACGATGTGCGAGAAGGGCAACATCCCCGGCAGGAAGACCAACTTCAGCGTCTACCAGAGCTGTAGCACGTTGTCGGAAGCGCAGAGCAACCAGCTCGTGCTGATCTGCAATAACTTGAGCCAGCAGGCTGCCCAGTCCATGGCAAGCCACTCCAATACTGGCAACTTCATCGTGTCAGCATCCTATGACTCTTCCTCTGACACAGCTTGAAGAGGGATAGAACCTGGACAGATTTTTCTTTTCCATTTTGTTTCAAGCGTTGAATTTGTGCCCAATAATACGCATCAACTGTGATTGTACACTACTCCCCCATAGCCCTCTCTCCAGTGTTAATTCACTTTATAAAAATATATAAATATATAATATATTTTTCTTTTTACAAATAAGTCAATAGAAATAGTTTAGTATTACTAACATAGTATTTATAGTGTTAATACAAAAATGAAAGTTACTTATGGGTTATAATATAATTGCAGATTTAAAAAGGACAAAAGTGGTTCTCAGGCAACACAAGATAGACTGGAAATACCATTTTTAACATGCACACATCGGTGACTGTAAATCCCCAGGGAGGCTTATGTAGCAATTCTATTTTAAAGCATTTTTTTGACTTCTTGTTTTAACATGGCCTCCTAGAGTAGAGGAGACAAACTTATCACTGGCTGCTGCTCCTTACCTGCTGGCTTGTTCTTGATCAGCAAGACAAGGAAATAAGAGATACAACAGTGCAAGTTTGTGAATGCATTAACAACAGTTTTTACCTTTTTTTTTATTATTATTTTGTTTCCTGAGGCTTTATGCCTGATGGAAAAGAAAAATCCTGAAGTCAGCTAAAAGCTATTTTTAGCTTTTATTTTTGTTGATGATTTTTTTGTGATCAAAATGTCACTGGTCTTTAGACTAAAAGGTATTATTTTCAACAATAAGCAGAAGTACAATGGCAAAAGCAGTCGTACAAATAATTTTCTCTTTAAGCACTGGTCATTAGCATTTTGTCACTGTGTATACTTAATGTAAAATCTACTGACTTGGAGCCACTCTTTCAGTATTCTGGGGAATGCAACAGTTCAGAAAAATCCATAATCTTATTTCAAACTATACAGAGAAAATGCATTAAATATGTCTTAAGCCATCACTTGAAATCCACAAAAACTAACATAGGAAGTGTAAGGATAGTTTGATATTTACTTCAGAGAATGAAAAGCTGAATAGTTTTAAGCACTGGAAAACAATTTGAAGTCACCTACACATAATCTATTTCCACTGCAGACAATGGAAAATGTGTGCTTGACTCTGAAGGTAGAATTTGGTCCTTAAAGCCTTGAAATGACAAATGCTATTGTCCCAACATTTGACTTCACAACATAACTGTCTTCTACATAACAGGAAAAACACTAACAAATATTTCGGTGAACCATTATAGTTCTTGACCTTTAAATTGACGTAGAGTACCTCTCAAGTAATTCACCCGAGCTTACTCAATATTTCAGATGGAAATGTGCCACCGGGATATTCTAGAGATGTGATGAGTCTGTAGACAAGTCCGCCGAGGTGTCCTGGTGTCCCCTGAAATCCGTGAAGGACTCAGCCTCACCTGACTTCCCATGGATGTTGGGTGGGTCAAGCTGTTACTGAGGACTTGTTTTGGTTTTGCTTTTCCGTTCCCTTACGCTTGTTCGCTTTCATTCCTTTACATTCCTTCATACCCTTTACATTCTCTAAATCTGCAGCAATGCAGTGACTTTATTCATAACTTATTCCGAAGAAAGGGTGAAACACAAGCAGCAGAAAGAAGTGAAAATAACCCACCTGGTGCCATGTAGCACTTGTGTTTGGTGCTGCCAGGATGAAACATTCCTGTGTGTGAAGGAGGCGGCAGGCTGCCCGCACCTCACATAAGCCTTACTGAAGGTCCATTTTGGGCAGGGGTGGGTAGCAGGTGGTCCACGGAAGGTCTAAGAACAGAGATTTCCTCTCTAAAAAGCATCTGGCCTCCCAGCCAGCTCGGTGCAGGTTATACAGCTGGACTCAGGCCCCAGTGTGCTCCACACATAGCTGAGCTTGGTGACCAGGTTGTCATCGGCCTGGCCTTTTGCAGGGGTGTTTTTGCACAGTCCGTGGGATCTTGTTGCCCTTGAGGACAAGGACTTGGGCAGCTGGTCTTGGTTGGTGCTGGGTGCCATGCCAAGGCACTCGCTGGTGGTGCCAGCTGAGGGGCCCAGCTGCTCGGATAGGTTTTGCTCTCAGCTCCCTCACATCGGTGCTCATCTCAGCGCTTGAGCTTGAAGGGGAAAGAAGCCACCCCATGGCGTGGCTGTCCCGTGTCGCTCCTCAAGCCCCACAAAGCATGAAACCAGACTTTACAACCAGATTTTGGCTTCTCAGCTCCACATATTGTCGGAGTTGTTTTATACAGTATTAGGGTGGCTCATGTTAGTGCCTCGTTGTGCTGAGGCAATGTCTCTGGTAACCTCGGCCTTGCAGGGCGTGTTGGCAGCTTTTGTGTCTGGTTGGGTGACAAGGTGTGGGGTACGTGTGCTTGTGGCAGGAGCCTTGGTGTCACAGGGGAATGTGTTTTCGGCTTCATGGTATCTGAACTAACTCCGGCCTCCAGCTGATGCTGGTGGCAGATCGCCTGCTGAATTCTGACCGGGCGGCCCCAAACAGACTTCTTGTTGAAGCAGTTAAAGACATAGGGCCAGAATATGATACCCAAGTAGCATCATACTCCCGGAATAGATACATTAGATTTGAAGGGCATTTAGCACAACATGCTACCCGGTCTTCGCGTGTTGCAAGGAGCTGAGTGACGACGGCCTAATGAATTGCCGTCTGTATTAAGCCCCACGGGGAGGGCGACTTCTGATTTGGACCACTGCCATGGCTTTGTCTCTGGTTGGCAGGAGTGTAGGTGTCCCGGCTGCTGTGCTGCTGCTGACAGATGACAGTTCATTTGCTTGTAATTGTCTCCCCATGCTCTGAGGGTGTCAAAACCTGCTCCACCAGTACGGTAGCTACACGCTTACCACAGTGCTGTGGCTCTTCCTGGTGAAAAGCCATAGCAGCATGGTAAGGGGGTGGTGCTGCACTCTTATAGGCCTTCCCCTCTGCATAAGCAAAGGACTGTGGTGCCCTACCGTGGCTTCTGGTTCCTCTCACTATGAAATCAAAAGAGCAGCTTGCTACACACTGCCCTGCTCCTCCCTGGCTGGCAGGGTCGGTCGCTGAGATGTGCTGCACGTGGCTGGTGGTGCTCCTGGCTAAATCCTGCTCCTATATAAAAGCTGAATTTGGGCCCCACAGTACGGGCTGTGGTTTTCACAATATGGGGTAGCTGTCTCCAAAATGGGGCTCTGCTTTCTCCTTCCTCTTGCCCTTCCTTTTTTTTTTTTTTTTTTTTTCTGCCATTCACTTGTCTTTGATCTGGCGTTAGATCTCTTCAGTGAGTCATTTCAGCTAGCTAGTCCAGCAGGAAATATAGCACAGAGAAGGGGAATGCACATAGTTTTCTGACGGATTACCAAGTTGGGTCTGCTCAAAAATTAATGTTCAGAGCCAGCAGGAGAGACGGGAAGACTTTCTCTGTCAGTATCATTCATTAGACTGCGGGTACTGCAGCTTTAGAAACCCAACAAAGGGATAACGCAGATGGAGAGCCGTCTGTATGGTCTGCAGACGTGTTGGTTGCCTTCAGAGCCATCTACCAGCTCTTGAGGGATGCGATCAGTGCTACCAAGAGCGCAGCTTAGTCTTGTACTCTCTGCGTCCCCTAGGAAAGAGGCAGAGTGACGATGTGAAGGCCTGCAGGCTGCGTGCATGGGTCTGTGCTGGTTTTACTGCTGTCCTTCCCAAGTGGCCTGCTCGTGGCACTGAGCCGGGGGTCAGGGATTGTGGGGGTGACACACGGGCACTGCTGCCTTCATCTGGATGCGGCTGGGCACAGCGCTTGTGCGTGGGTCCACTCGCGTGGTTGCACGTTTAGCTGGGAAGAGCTGACGGCAGGCTTCAGCTCGGTTTTATTAACAGCTCGTGCATGTGTTTATGGTACTGTGGGTTTGCACAATGTAATTCTATCCATGCCAGTAGTTGGGACTGAAACCCGTGATGTCTGGGCGTTGCAAACGGCCTGTTTAATTTTCAAATACAAATTTATGCAACAAAATGCTTTTTTTTTTAAGTGTAGGGGAATGAAATACTGTTGCAGATTGCCTTGTAGACTAAATTACAAGGCACATCTAAAGCAACAGCACATACCTTGTTCATTTACATAGTGCAATAATTCTGTGATAGCACCCATGCTATTGAAAAATAGGACAATCTAACGATGGAAATAGTGTCCCTGATGCACATTCTCCTTTGTGAAGAATATCAACACTTTCAAGCTATTTTGTGTTTTTACTTTTAGAAGCTGCTGGTCACTGGTATTCAGTCTATAGTGTAGTTGCCCTCTTATTTCTCTTAGAAAGGTGAGTAGAAAAAGAGATTCAAGCAGCAGGTTGTACTGCTGCGTGTGCTGTTCTCGCACATTTGTGGCTGCATCTCCCACCACTGCGGTGCGAAGGTGCAGAGCAAGAGGAGTAGGTATCGTGTCACTCGGAGCCTGGGCTGCCCCGAGGACGGGGGCAGCCTTAAAGGAAACCAAAATTCCTGTTGCACTAGGCTTCCTTCCTGCCCAGTTCGTATTTTACCCTTTTTCCCTCCTGTAAGTGCATTGACTGACGTGACTGGCAGGCGTGGTGCATGGGCTGATTATTCCTCCTGACCATGCACTGCACGCGACTGCGACTGACTGACTGGTCTCCCCCATCCCCGACGTCCCTTTCTCCGTCCCTCCGTCCCTCCACTGTTCCCCTCTCCCAGCGTTTGTGACACTAGGGGAAGGGGACTGCTCAGTGCAGGGCAGCTCCTGGCCCGCAGTTCCCTCCCTGCTACCAAGTGACCTTGTGCTTTGGGGATAATGCGCTCAGGGCAGGCTGCCTCGCTTCGGGTACGCGTGGTAGGTGGGATACCGCACACCAGCACTCCGCAGCCCGGCGTCTCTCCTCTCTGGACACTCTTCTCTGCTTTCTGTGGGAGTGCTTTCAGATCGCAGAGTGAGGTGACATTCAGCGGTGTGTCGAGGGCCAGCCCCACGGTGGTGCGCTGCTTGGCCTCCGCTGAGATCCTTGAAGAGGAGCGAGGTGACCGCTCGAAAATCAATTCATTTTAGGTGGTGCAGGTGAAGGGGAAGTGGGACCTCCCTGGAGCTCTCAAAGGCCGCGTGAATGTATGGGGAGGAGGAGTGCGGACGGGACACAGAGCTGTGGTTTGATTTGCCTGAAATGAGCCAATTCACGCCTCCGTGTGAGGCTAGAGGGGGATTCAGCTGCGCGCTGTCACGTGCAGCTGGCAGTGGATCTGCACTTTTTAACCAGGATTCTTTGTTAGACATTTGTGTGCCGAGGTGGTTGTTTTACCTAACGTGAGTTGCTGTCCTTGTTCTTAAGAGAGGGGATGTTTTTTTTGTTTTTGTTTTTGTTTTTGTTTTCCTTTTATTTCCATGCTTTTGTGTATGTGCTGAATCCGTATGCCCTGCCGAGGAAGAGCGTGGGGAGGAGGCAGGCCACCACGAGGATTGTCTACCTTCACCGCAGAAGAACTCGGACTGCGCTTCCTGGTGATGGTCCCCATGTGCCCGGCCTGCCTCGCTGGCCAGGAGCAGTGCCACCTCGTCTGCTGCCTCCCAGCACACCTGCTGGCTCCGCACACTGCGCCACTCTCCGAAAACCAGGAGCCCTGGGCCAGCTGGACGCGGCCACCCAGACCGTGTTGGTGATCCGTGCAAGGGAAGGCTCTGAGCACAGCTACACGATGGCCCCAGCCCCGTGGTGCGTGATGGACGGTGTGTGACTGACACACAAGGCTGTGCCAAACCTCCTCGAAGGGTTTGGAAAGCTGGGTGGCCGATGGGGACGCGGAGGCTGGTTCTCCCCTCTGCTCCATGGCTTTTGCAGCTGGTGGTGATGTCCTTCGGAGGAAAAGCTGCGTGTCCCAGAGCTGCCAGCCTCATCCTCCTCGCTGGATGGCCTCTGGCGAGGCCCTGCAGAGCTCCAGCACCTCGTCTCTTCCCAAAACCAGCAGAGAGGCATTTACAGCGGCAGAGTCACAAAGCTCCAGGGCTTAGGGGCGTCTGCGAGCTTGTTGGAAAGTTTGACAAGAGCCATTCACTGGAACATGTTCAAAGCAGTGGGAATGTCTAAAGCTTTAACTCCTAATCTGATGGGGAAAAAAAATGTGTTTGGCCCAAAATTTGCTTGTTACGTGAACTGATGGGTTTTAACATAGTCTCTAGAGTCTGTGTCTCAAGGGAGGAATTTATTTTCTCTGTTTTCTCACTGAATTGGTAAATGTTGGTTGGTAATACGGACGAAATTCTGTTTGTTTTGTTATGAAAACGCCATTAAATGAGCTGTCTGTGCGTTGGAAATGGACTCACTGTTTCAAAGGGATTAGGACACTTCTACCTAATCTTCTACTCTGGTGCTTGGTATTCAATACACGGCAGTCACTAGCGTCTGAAAAAATCAGCACCTTTTCCGATTCTCATTTGATCTCTTGTAATTAATGGAAGATTCACAGCGTTTGGGATTTTTTAAGAGACGGGTGAGGTAGGTGCTAGCATCAAAATTCAGCAGGGTAGAGTTTCAGTGGGAACGGGGAGAGGTGTTTAGCTCTTTCACACTGCTTGGGGAATTCCAGCCTTTGGGCATTTTGGCTAGCACTGTTTTATACAGTCCATAAATGTCAAGCAAATAACCAAACAGCCACACAAGGGGAAAAGAATCAAGAAAATACAAAATGTTTTGGACAAAAGCATTGTGTTGGAAAAATAAAACATCAATGTTAATTTTACAGACACTCTCTCTGCCATTTCAGCTGTTCTTTTTGTGAGCAGAGAAGACTTTCTAGCATTCCTCGCTGCTAAAATCTGATCTGCTGTCTGAAGGTTGTAATGCTGCTGAGATTGTCCTCTGCATCGTTATAGCATGCTCCCAGATGGCCTCAGTCATGGGTAGCCTGTAGTCCTGGGTCTGCTCCTGCCAAAATTCCCCCTTCCCTTCTTTAATATCAAGCATTTAATGCCCTTGCTTATGGTTCAGGTCCTGCATCAAGACTGGGCTACTCTGCACAGGGCTGGGATGGAGTGGGGTGGGTGGGAAACACAGGTGCAGAAGTATTCATGGCACTCCAAGATATGCAGGCAAATCGAGGCATGAAATGTGTTAAAAAAGAAAAAGCCTGAAAAGCTGGCACGGGGAGAAGAGGTGGGAACCTGACAGCAGCACCTGCGACCTGGTGGTGCTGTGGCTGGACAGGACCCATAGATCTGCGTGTCTCGGGGTCATCCTGAGACCTGCCAGAGCAGACCACGTTACTCGAGACAGAAAATGGCAGGATATCTAAGTGGGAAAGGCAGTGGGAAAGCCTGGAAAATGCAATAAAAGTTTCTCTTTTTTTTTTTTTTTTCTGAGGAAGGCAAGCATAATCCTCATCTTTAAGCTGTCCTTTAATATCCTACTTTGTTTTACACTGGAATTAGAAAAGCATTTCCATTTGTTTTAATTATCTGCTGACTTTAATTCTGCCTTTGAACAATATTTTTGCTATGACAACCCTTGCTATCATGGTGAGCGGTGCTAGGGGAAAAAAAAAAAAAAAAAGTAAGGCTTTTATCTTTCCCTGCATGCAATGTTTAATCTTTCTAATCTTTTAATGTGAATGTGTTTTCTCCCATTTTGAGAATTGACAAGATTAGTACTGTTTCTCCCAAAACAGCCATTCAAAAACGTGTTTTGCTCAAACCTGACCAACACAACCTGTAACCACCACGTAGCACGGTCTGGGATTTCTCCTTGGTGGCCAACCTGTCCATTCTCAGAGCTGAACCTGTCCCTGCGGCTAACTTCCATGTACTGACTTTTGTAACTGCCTGAACTATAAGGACAACTCAGCTTTTTTTTTAAGAAAAGTTTGTAAAAAGGTAGTTTTTTGTTAATTCTTTAGTTTTGTTTTATAAAATAATAATAATAATTAAAAAAAAAGTATTTGTTAAAAGATTCACTGTTTTGCCAAATAATAATAATAATAATATTTCTATGCATCGTGTGATTCTGTGATGTTGCCGTTGAGGTTTTGCATGTTTTCTAGGCGTTCTGACATCTGTGCATTTATGTGGTACTTGTAGAAATGCTTAACCATTGCTGCTATAATCACCCCCGTTGTAGTTAACTGAAAACTGTGCTGAGGAGCTGTGCCAGTTGACAGATTTTTTTGTGTGTGTGTGTGTCACGGTAAAACTCCGCGTTCTGCTGTTCGTTCCCTGTTTTAAGCCAGTATTTTGTGCCTTCTGTAGAAGGAAATCAGTATGTTTGTGGTAGACAGGAGGTGCCAAACTTCTAGTGTCTTGTTCTGAACAGATGATCACTTATCAGCTTGACGCATTAAAAAAAAAAAAAAAAAAAAAAAAAAGTAAAAAAAATCTTGAACACTCTTTCTTTAGTGTCTTCTCATTAATTTTAATTTGAAAAGAATAAATAAATAAATAAATAAAGCAACTTGATGGAGCTAAAAAGAAATGATCTCCCTCAGTTGCACCTCCCGGAGCAGCCTGCCAACTGTGAAGGCGAGGGGTAAGAGGGAATGCGCCGTCCCCAAATGTTCCTGCTGGTAACAGATCCAGCCATTAGCCAAGCCGGTGCGAGCTGTCGCGGAGCATGCTAAAAATGCCTGTTAATGAGAGCAGCCCGCTGATTGCCATGAGAAACTGTTAGCTCCCGTGACAGTTGTGAGCCCGCTCGTGTAAACAAGTGTCAGCCTGGTCAAGTGGTGGATCCCAGCCCCTTTTCTGCCTCCGCTGAAGCCATACGTCGCTGCCAAATGAGCCTTGGATGAAATTCAAGCCCCAGATTTTTTTGGTCTAATTCTTCCCAGTTGCTTTCGCGGCTTGCAGGCAAGCTCTGTTTATCGAAATTCTGACATCGCATTTTCAGCCCCTCTTCCACCTTCTCCTTGGGATCTGGCAGTGTAGCGAACACACACACACACACACACACACACACACACACACACACACACAGTTCGTTTTGGTTTTGATGAGATTTTGACAGGCTGAAGTGATACCATATTGTAAGTCATACAACAGAAACAAGCCGGAGGGAAACGCGAGATGTTCATCTGCCTGGCGCGTGGCTCATCTGCCACCAGACGTGGTCAGCCGCACCTAGGCCGGTCCTTAAAACACTATTTTACATGGAAAAAAAAAAAAAAAAGAAAAGACTAGCCATCAGTTTTGCATCTTTGCATGCTGAGGGATGACAGTCTGTTAAAGAGCTTTAGAAGGCTTTTCAAACAAGAATACCAGGTTTCCCAAAAAATGATGGGACTGGGAAAAAAACAGTGAATCAAATTAAACATTACTGGTCCAAAGGCTGGAAGGCTTGTCCTGTGGGAGAGGCTGAGGACACCTGGGTTGTTCGGTCTGGAGAAGAGGAGGCCAAAAGGCAGCTCCCTGCAGCTCCTGAGGAGGGGAAGGGCAGAGGAAGGTGCTGGCCTCTGCTCCCTGGTCACCCATCCCAGGAACCGAGGGAGGGCACAGTGCTGGGCTAGGGGAGGCTCAGGCTGGGCGTCAGAGAAGATTTCTTCACCATGATGGTGGTCAGGCACTGGGACAGGCTCCCTGGAGAGGTGGCCAGTGCCCCAAGCCTGCCTGTATTCAAGAAGCGTTTGGTTGATGGCCTCAGTAATCAGTGTTTGGTAGTCCCAGAGTGGTCAGGGAGCTGGGCTCGGTGAGCTTGGAAGGCCCCTTCCAACCAAACTATTATAAACCTTTCTAAAGACCTCAGCCTTCCAAAAGTGGTTAGGATGTTCAACTCAGTTCCCGTCACTTAAGGCTCTCTTCAGGCATAAGGAGCCATTTCATTACCCTGTATGAACTGGTGGCTTCCTCGGGCACTTTCTGCCAGCTGAGACCAGCCGCAATTTGTTTCTCTGTTTTTTCCTTCTGTGGTAGCCACGTACACAAGGACACACACCTCCACCTGTGTCCGGGAGGAGGTTTGACCCCACACCACTCCTGCCTGCATGGCCCTAATATTAAATAAGCACGATGGGGACGGAGGGGCCCATCTCCTGGGCTGCTTCTGCTTATAGCTAGGCCTTAGTCCCCGCAGCCCCACCAACTGCACAAATTGGCCTACCAATTGGTTTTCCCAGCTTCTTCCAGACATTGGCCCAGCTTGCCCAGGAGTGTATCCAGTTCCTGAAGCACAGCAGTTGTTTATTCCCAGCTCCGTCTCTTTGGCTGTGAGGCTAGATATATTTACATTTCCTTCAGCCTGGATTTGAATCAGGAGAGCGATCAATACCATTTATTTAGCTCTTTGCAGGCTGGAAATGCAGTTGTTGTTCTACAGGTGCAGTCCTGAAATTAGGTTTTAGCCGGCTGCCTGTGGTGTGTCAGCAATTTCGCTGGCATTTGTTCATTTTTCACTGCAGCTCACTGATTTCAGGAAGCAAACTGGCTGATGCTAACACTGTGGTGGAGCAGATACCACCTTCCAGTCACTGCGATGCCTTCTGTGTACATGTCGTCAGTCGTATGCTCTTGTAATTTGCAATTGCATTTTGTCCAAAGTGCAGGACAAGCTTTGTGCCTTTTTGTATTATTATTATTATTTATTTTTTAAGCAAACAAACAAACAAAAGCTATAGCCTTCAAATCTGTGCTGCCGAAAGAAGCCAAGAGAGAATTAATCCAAACCCCATCCAAACCCCAGCAGAATCTGGGGACTTACTAAATTTACTTTGCAAGCCCCAGCTGTAAACAGCTAATTAAGAAACAGATTTGAGCATGAGCAGCGATACATTTCTACCACTAAAATGCAGTTTTCTGTGCATATGGCACCTTCTAACACAAATCTCTCTCCCCCACATTTGGGACTTTATGTATGCAATGGTTTATTAGGGAGAAGTCATATTTTGATGCATTTCAATGCATTAAGCTTTGCAAATCAAGAATATCTCAGGGGACAAGGGATTTTTTTTTTCTTCTGAAAATGTCAGGAGTGTTGTCAACCAGTCTGTTTTCAGAGCTACCTGCTCAACCCCATTGTCCTCAGAATTCATTCTTTCTGGAGTTGCACAGGGACCTGAGAAAAATAAAGAAAAAGGCTTCACCGATGTAAATGAGGAAAGATTTCGTAGCCTAATTGAGCCCTTCATACCCATCTGTGTTTCCAGGCCTGGCAATCCTTTAACTTGGTAGCTGGAGAAATCTTAACCCATGCTGATACCACATTGCTCTTTCTGCAAAAGACTGTTAAGAAGCAAACTTCAAACTGGATAAAATCCTTGGAAGGATCCAGCAATATCGTCAACAAAGTTGTCTGAGATTTGTGCCAGTTGAGAACTCTATTTTTGCATCTGGGTTGATGGAGTTTTGTTTTGTTTGTTTTTTTTTGATTTCCTGCTGCAAATCACACCACCCCTCTTTGACTGGGATGGAGTAAAGGTATGTTCCACTGCTGCCTGTTTCACCACCCTTCAGCTAGATGTCTCCTTTGTCTCCTTGAAAAATGTCCCTTTAGTGTTTGGGTATAAAAGTACAATTGATAAGAAGGAAGTAAAACCAAGAGGTCTTTTTTTTTTTTTTTTTTTTTTTTTTAAACTGGTGTCTGAGTTAGAAAAGAACGAGCTCGCTTGTGTATTAATTGAAGTATGACATTCAGTTTTACTGATCTGCAAATTCCAGAGATTTCCTGATCTTTATCACACTTCAGCTCCATTTTTATTCCCTTGTGATAATCTTTAATAAGTCTGGTTCTGCCGCATTAGAAGTTGATTTCACTGTCCCTACAGTGTTTGCTACTAATGTAATGTGACTTTTTTTTTTTTTTTTTTTTTTTTTAATATTTGTGTTGGTACAGCCTTAATCTTTACAGAATTTAAGACCATTTCAGAGATAATCAAGATAGTCTAATCGAGATAGTCATTGATGTCTGTGATAAGTGCATGCTTTATTCACAGTATTTTGTCTGTAATTAGGTGTATTGACCAATTCTCATGTATTTAATAAACTGTCTTCTGCAAAGATGACCATTTCCTTTAATCAAATGAAAGCAATTTACTTGAAATTTCAAGGCACGTTTGTATAAAAAAAAATAAAAATCACAGCTTTTCAAGTACAAATATCAGGGTAGTTGGGAAGTTCCCCTGGACCTGCGAAGCATTTCGATTAGCAGAGTGCAAATAGGCCCACCAAGCAATAGCTGCTGTCGTGCCCTGTTTAACTTCTGGGGTCATGTTTCAGGGAAACGTTTAAACAATTGCTTAAGTCCTTCCCTGCTCAGGAATGTACTTAAAAACAAGCTTGACTTTAACCATGTGCTTATTTAATCTCCCTGCAGTACGACTGAAAGCGTATGTACCAAGAGCATTTTTGGAATAAAGGTATTTTCCTGCGCTTGGTCTGGTCACATCAATTCCACGGCACAGTTTGGCTTGAAACGACCTATTTTGCACTCAGAATTTCAATAGCAAGGTCTGCTCCCCACACAGGCTTGTTTCGATGCTGATCTAGAATAAAATTAAATGTGCCTCCAAGGATACACATCTTTTAAGACAGGTGCTTCTCAGGCCTGATTTTAATCTGTTCAAAAGCAGGTTTTAAGATTAAAGGACCGGAAAACTAAAGCAAATAAAGCCCTCTCAGTCCTCTGAAAGAAAGGCAACCCAAGTGGAAAGAAATGCCTTGACAGCTCCATGGAAATTCCACTCACTGAGCTGCTGTCCATGGGATGATGGCTGCGTTTGGGAAGGTCGGGTTCTGCCAAAGAAACGAGAAGAAGCAAAAAGCCAAATCACTCAGGCGACCGCCATCCAGGGCACAGCAACGTGTTTGTGTGGGTGTTAGGACCCCCAAAAAGTGAGGTATGGGCAGGTGATAGCTAGGGGCTACCAGCTGCTTTCTCTGCCTGTTGCAAAGTGAAGCATCTTGTGTTAAGCCACCCCTGTAGCTTGCATTCAGCTGTCTTCATGGAGGTTGAAGGCAACGTGCTTTCTTTTGGTCTACAAGTGAGTGTGCAGGTGGTGGTTAATGATTAATGTGGTTAAGGCAGGCTCAGCTATGCAAATTGTTAAAGTTCTGGTAACTCAACTGCTCTTGGTTTTCCCTCTGTAGGCTGATGTAGTCCAGATGGCTGCTCTAAAAAACACTGTGCTTCCAGAGCCCTTGGGATGTCCTCTCCTCCTCCTTCCACACCTGAGGGTGCCCACCACGTGAAGCTCACAATGACATGCAGACCTCGTGCGCAGTTTTGCAGGGTTTGAAAACTTGCTGGTCTGAAACTAGCCAGTGGTTTATTTTGTAATATATGCCAGAGGGAAACAGTGTTTGGCGGCCATCCCTGGAGACGAACGGTGTGGGTGAACATGTGGATGAATGATGCCCTGCCTCTCAGGCAGTGCCTGCT